GACCAAGTATTTGTATTCTTCTTTTATAACATGAATTTTCTTAACTCATTTGTTTTTGTATTTTCTACATTACTATATAAGTTTATCACTTTGCATTTATATTTTCTACATTACTACATGATTTAATTTAAATTTAAAATTATATTTTTTTGATAAAGTAGTGTTAAATATAGTATATAAAAATATATTCAATATTATATTGTACTATGCGGTTTATGGTATCAAAATAAAACAATGAATATTTATACTGAAACGTTATTGATAAGATGTGCGCATATTTTTATTATTTTTGTCAAATATTGTCTTAGCCCCGTAAAAGCTAAGCACGGCACTGTGTATTCTATATGTAGCGTAGCGAAAGTCCGTACCAATTTTCCTTGTAGATCAAGCAACTCCAATTTTCAAATTACATGTGCAAAGGTGTTGAAGATTCAATTTACTGACGTCATGGGTATGACATAGTACAATTTCCTTAACTGGGCTCGTAATTTCCCTTAAGAGGTTCTTGACCAAATCACGTAATCCTCGTGTCCGAAACAAAGCATATAAAACGTTACTCGATTCTGTGATCTTTAATTAACAACACTGGGTACCGTGCCTCTATTCATCATCTATTATTGCTTTTTTTTTGTTTTTTTATCAAGAATCTTCTAAGATGAGTTGACTTGTGTGGTCATAATGCTTTACGTTTCTTTTATGTCATTTCGTATGTGGTTTCTTAATCTGTACATCTATCGAATTATCAAAAAATTCAAGCCATCAAGGCTTTTTGACGAAATCAACGTTCCTAAGGTGTTACCGTAAAAATCAAAATTAATCTTATTTAGAATCAGGTTCCACGATCTTAAACACGTATCTAAAATATTCAAGAAATATGTGTTTGAAAAATCTCTTATCAATCCTCTGTTTTGTCCTCGCCGTTAGCTTCAACTTTGCGTGTGCACAAAAATGCGTGCAGTCAATGTTTTTCAGACCCAACAGTACTTATGATACAAACCGTCGTCTCATTCTCTCAACTCTTGCTTCCAACGTCGGTTCTCGAAACGGCTACTACACCGGTTCGGTCGGTGAAGCCCCTGAAAGAATCTATGCCCTAGGTCTCTGTATCCCAGGGGCTGATCCAAAGGTCTGTTCCGATTGTATCCAACTCGCATCTGTCGGTTTATTAGAATATTGTCTGAATCAGACCGAGGCATACGACTGGAGATCCCACGAGACGCTCTGTTTAGTTCGTTACTCAAACCGCTCGTTTTTCAACCAGAGCGATCTAGAGC